CCGTGTGTGTGAACATGCAGGTGTCTGTAGGTGCGTGTCTATGTATATGGGGTGGATGTGCAGGTGTACGTGTGTGAATATATAGCCGTGTGTGCATGGCCCCATGTATATGTGTGTGTGGGGGGGAGACATGCAGCTTTGTGTCCGTGTGTGTGTGTGTGCGCATGGGTCCGTGTATGTGCGTGTATATATGGGGGTATATGTAGATGTGTGTGTGTGAACAGGTGTAAGTGGGGAGCATTCAGGTGTGTCTGTGTGTGTTCATGTACACGTGTGTATGTGTGTGGACATGCAGGTGCGTGTGTCCGTGTGTAGATCTGCATGCATGCACAGACGCGTGTGTGCAGGTGCGTGTGTCCGTGTGTAGATCTGCATGCATGCACAGACGCGTGTGTGCAGGTGCGTGTGTCCGTGTGTAGATCGGCATGCATGCACAGACGCATGTGTGTACCGGGGCATCTGAGCCCCTGGTCTCCATTTCATGCCACCCTACGCCTACCTCCTTGATCTCTGTGCCCAGCCTTGGCCGTGCTCCTGCTGTCTGCACGTGGGTGTCTGTGCCCTCGCGTGTCCGCACACGCATGTTTAAGTGTCCTTGCTGGGGCTCTTTGGTGGGCAGGCCTATGATCCTCGAGGTCACGTGTGTCTTCTGTGGGCGCCTGCTCCTTGCAGCCCACAGTGTTGGGGAGGGTTTGCATTGGCGCGCTTGTCCCCTGCTCACCTGCCTCCCTCTCTTCCTGCTTCTAAGCCCGGAAACTCTGGAGTCCGGGGCCCTTCACAGGTGAGCACGTGGCAGCAGCGCCTGCAGATCCCCGGCTGGCCCGTCTGTCCTCGCACCTCTCTCTCTGATCTCTCTCTGCCAAGCTGCCCCCGTCTCCATCCCTCTTCTCCCTCCCACTGTCGGTGTCTGCCCACCAGCCACCCCTGGGTCCCGTCACCAGCCCTTGTGGCCTCTGCCGCCGGAGCCCTTGTCCTCCCACCTCCCCCACCCTGTCCTGTTGCCACCTTCCTAGAGGCCCTGACCTGCCCTCTGCCCTCCAGCGAGAAGGCACTGCAGAGCAACCATTTTGAACTGAGCTTGCGCACCGAGGCCACACAGGGGCTGGTGCTCTGGAGTGGCAAGGCCACGGAGCGGGCGGACTACGTGGCACTGGCCATTGTGGACGGCCACCTGCAGCTGAGCTACAACCTGGGCTCCCAGCCCGTGGTGCTGCGTTCCACCGTGCCCGTCAACACCAACCGCTGGTTGCGGGTCGTGGCACATAGGTGAGTAGGGAACCCAGCATGCCGAGAATAGTGGTGAGGGCTGCCCACACTTGCCCAGCTGGGCTGTGTCCAGCCACTTATGGCCGGGGGTCAGGGAGGACAAGCCTTGCTGCCTGAGCCGAGGTCGCTGCCAGTGGGAGGAGGAAGGGCCGAGAAGATGCAGGAGAAGCAGTGATCAGCTTCCAGGCCTGAAAGGCATCCCAGCCCTGCCCAGAGCCTGCTGGGGGTTGCTCTGGTCCGAGCCTGGCCATCACCTCCAGCAAAGCTTGAGCTGCGGGAATGTCCCCCGCCTTGGCTCCTAGTGCTCTCCTTGGGGTCAAGGCCAGCCCATCCTTACCCCCAGGGGTGACACCTGGGGGGTCCCCCAGGCTGAGGCACCTGCAGGGCATAGGAAGGATGCAGGGTTTACAGTCTAGAGGAGGCAGAGGGAGCTCTGGGCCCTGATGGTCTCCCCCTCCCCGTACCCCCAGGGAGCAGAGGGAAGGTTCCCTGCAGGTGGGTAATGAGGCCCCTGTGACCGGCTCCTCCCCGCTGGGTGCCACGCAGCTGGACACTGATGGAGCCCTGTGGCTTGGTGAGTGTTTTGGGGACACTAGGGAGGGATACCCAAGGGTCTCATAATATCAAGGGACAGACTTCACCCCCCAGGGCCCACCTTGAGTCAGGGTGCATGTGAGTTGGCGGGCTGGGCTCTCTCTTCTCCCGCTGTAGCCCCTGCAGTTCCCAGTGCCGTGGGGCCAGGAGGCGGGGGCCCAGGTGTGGTCCCCCTGCTGGTCACCTGCTTGTTGGGGTGCCCGTGAGTCCCTCTGCCCATCAGCATCACTGAGTCACAGCCGGGTGACTCCTACTGTCTGTGCTGCAGGGGGCCTGCCGGAGCTGCCCGTGGGCCCAGCACTGCCCAAGGCCTACGGCACGGGCTTCGTGGGCTGCCTGCGGGACGTGGTGGTGGGCCAGCGCCCGCTGCACCTACTGGAGGACGCCATCGCCAAACCAGAGCTGCGGCCCTGCCCCGCCCCATGAGCTGGCACCAGAGCCCCACGCCCGCTGTAATTATTTTCTATTTTTGTAAACTTGTCGCTTTTTGATATGATTTTCTTGCCTGAGTGTTGGCCGGAGGGACTGCTGGCCCGGCCTCCCTTCCGTCCAGGCAGCCGCACTGCAGACAGACCTGGTGCCGAGGGACTGACAGGCGAGGTGGCAGCGTGGAGGGCTTGGCGTGGATGGCAGCCTCAGGACACACACCTCTGCCTCAGGGCACTGAGCCCCCCCTTGCACTGCGCCTCCCCCACGGTGTCCCCGCCAGGAAGCAGCCCCGGCCCCTGAATCACCCTCGCTCTGTCAGGTGGGGCTTGCGTCCCGGAGAGGAAGGGGCTGCTGAGGTCTGAGGGGGCCCTTCCTCCGGGTGCCCCCACAGGGCCTTTCCAAGCCCTCATTTGAGCTGCTCCTTCCTGTGTGTGCTCTGGGCCCTGCCTTGGCCTCCTATGCCAATACTGTGACTTCGAAACAATGTTACTGCTGGGCAGCTCTGCGTCCCTCCCCGTGCTGCCTGAACCAGCCCCAGGCTGCTGAGAAGCAGAGGCCAGACCAGGGCCGGTCTAGGTGCCCTGACCCTCAGCTGGCCCTGCCCAGCCACCCTGGATGCGGCCGTGTCCCTCTGCCACACCCCAGGCCCTGTGAGGGGCTATCGAGGGGAGCTCACTGTGGGGTGCAGTTGACCTCTGCTGCCTGCCTGGGTATCTGGGTCTGGCCACCGGCCGTGTTCTTCGTGTATTGATTTTATTTGACCCCTGGAGTGGTGGGTCTCATCTTTCCCGTCTCGCCTGAGAGCAGCTGAGGGCTGCCTCACTGCAAACCCTCCCCACAGCATCAGTGACGGTCATCCTTGTCTCAGAACGACCAGGGGCCAGCCAGTGTCTGACCAAGGTCAAGGGGCAGGTGCAGGGGTGGCAGGGATGGCTCCGAAGCCAGAAACGCCTTAAACTGCAACGTCCCATCCCTTCCTCACCCCCATCCCATCCCCACCCCCAGCCCCAGCCCTCGCCCAGTCCTCCTAGGAGCAGCACCCGATGAAGCGGGCGGCGGGGAGGCTGGGCGCCCTGTTACTAACTCTAGTACATTTCTGTGTCGATCGCTGTGAAATAAAGTCTGAAAACTTTGAAAGCATTGCTTGTGTCCGTCCTCACCAGCGCCCTGGCCTGGCTTGTGTCCGTCCTCACCAGCGCCCTGGCCTGGCTTGTGTCCGTCCTCACCAGCGCCCTGGCCTGGCGGCTTCTTGCTCAGCTTTGTGGTGGGAGCGCAGACTTGGAGCTTCCTTGGGTGGCCCTGGATGGAGCCAGGCCCTGCACAGGGGCTCCTTGTGGCTGATGAGGCCCTGAGTGGGGAGCACACAACGTGGAGCACCGTGGGGGGCGGGGCCGTGGAGGCAGGAGGCTCTCCAGCGTGCACGTGTGGGTGTGTGTGCCTGCACACGTAATTGGCCCACGTCTGTGTCAGGGCACAGGGTTGGAAGGAGGCTGCACCCAGGGCTGGAAGGGCCTGGGGGGAGCCAGGGTGTGTGGGGCTGCTGGGCAGCCTTTTCACTGGCCCAGATGTGCAGCGCCAACCCTTGGCACTGCTGGCAGCCTGTAACCCCCAGCGTAGTTGGGCTCCTGGACTCCCTCTAACCTGCTTCCTAAATTAGTGTGTGGGTGAGAGCACTGCAGAGGCTGAACCTCAGCGAAGGGCGCCGTGGCTCACACCTGTAATCCTAGCACTTTGGGAGGCTGAGGCTGGAGGATCGCTTGAGGCCAGGAGTTTGAGACCAGCTTGGGCAACATAGTGAGACCACATCTCTGCAAAAAATTTTCTTTAATTAGCCAGGCGTGGTGGTACACACCTATAGCTCCAGCTACTCGGGAGGCTGAGGCAGGAGGACCACTTGAATCCAGGAGGTTGAGGCAGCAGTGAGCTGTGATTGCACCACTGCACTCCAGCCTGGGTGACAGAGCAAGAACCTGTCTAAAAAACAAAGAGCTGGCATCCAGCATCAGCAGATGTGAGCCCTGGGGAGAAGCAGGGGAAGAAGGGGTGGGGTGTGTGACCAGCTGGGTGGCCTTTGCAAAGTGCTGGCTCTTATGAAAAATAACGAAGTGTACTTTTCTATTTTGTATTAATGATTTAAAAAAAAAAAAGGCCGGGTGTGGTGGCTCACACCTTGTAATCCTAGCACTTTGGGAGGCCAAGGCGGGTGGATCACCTGAGGTCAGGAGTTCAAGACCAGCCTGGCCAACATGGTGAAACCCCATCTCTACTAAAAACACAAAAATTAGCCGAGCGTGGTGGCGCATGCCTGTAATCCCAGCTACTCGGGAAGCTGAGGCACGAGAATCGCTTGAACCCGGGAGGCGGAGGTTGCAGTGAGCTGAGATCGCGCCACTGCACTCCATCGTGGGCGACAGAGCGTGACTCCATTTCAAAAAAAAGAAAAAGAAGATAATGCCCATAAGCTCCACACCCAGGTGGTCCCACGAGTCTGGGTGTTTGTTTTCTGAGCCTTTCCTCACTCGGTCCTCTGGGGATGCGCTGAGCGACCCTGTGTGCCTGGCAGGTGTCAGGCACTGGGGGTCAGGGAGGACAGAGTCCCGGAGTGGTGGCCACACACAGGTCGCTGACGGTGGGGGGCCAGGGTGGGGGCAGACCAACTTTGGGCTCCCGGAAAGGTCCAGGGAAAACATGCCCAAACCCAGACCCCAAGCATGAGCGGGGAAGGGCAGGTGAGGAGGCGCGAGGTGGGGCATGTGGTGTGGGTCCATTGGATGGTGTGCAGGGCCCTGTGTCTTGACGAAGGGAGCTTTCAGCAGAAGCGGAGGCGTAGGAGTGGCCAGAGGCCAGCGTGCAGGACAGAGGCCACAGATCAGAGCGGCAGGGGCTGGACGCAGATGGGCAGGGCAGGTCCAGTGGGGCTGCGTGGGCCTGGGGAAGAGGGCTGGGGGCGCTGCCTGATGAGATGTGGGAGGCTCCCGGAGGGCTCCAAGCAGGAGACCAGAATTCACGAGGACGCCGCTGGCTGGCACAGGGTGCTCGGCTGCAGGGGGAGCAGAGGGAGGGATTTGAGGGAGAATGGGTGGGTCGAGGGGGGTGAGAAGAGGCGCTCAGGGAGGTGGAGATGGAGCTGGAGGCACCGAAGCTTTGGGTGGACTCGCCCTGATGCGTCTGGAGGGAGGGCCGCGCTGGGGAAGCTAGGGTCCCCTGAGTGGGGTCCAGGGGGCCGAGGGGTGCCAGGCAGGGAGAGGCTGGGCTGAAGCCTGGCGCAGGTGCCCCTGCTGGGTGTTGCCTAGCAGGGGAGAAAAAGCTCCGACGCCAGAAATGAAGGAGGGAGGAGGACCTCGGAGGGGAGGAAGAGGAGGCGCAGAACCAGGAGACGGAGTTTGGGGGAACAACCGCTGCGGAGCGCGCAGGACCCAGAGGACTCAAAGGGGACCTGGAGGGTGACGACGCCTTCGTGGCCGGGGGTGAAGAGGAGGAAAGCCGCGCGGGCGGAGAGGCGCTGGTGGGTCCCAGGCTGGAGGCTGCGGGTCTGAGAGGCTTCGGAAGCCCAGGGCAGCCCGGGCCACGCCTGAAAACGAGGGCAGCTGAGCGCACGCCAGGGAGAGGCACCCGCGTCCGGGACCGGCCGCGGTGGGAGCCAGACTCGCGAAACCGGCGGGCCTGAGGCTGGGACCTGCGCGGGGGCGGACGCGGCACAGCCGGGGGGCCGGTCCCGCGGGCCCCGCCCCGCCACGCCCCCCAGCCTGGAGCCCCGGCCCCCGTCCGCAGAGGAGACGGCCCCGGAAAAGCCAGAGTCTTGGAAGGGAGCGCGGGACGGAGCCGGCAACAGCGTCCGCGACCCGCGAACCGCGACCCGCGACCCGGCTCTGAAGCGGGGACGACCGGAGCTTCCGCCCGCAGCCCAACCTCCCAGGCGCCCGGCAAGACTGGCTGGCGCGGACCCTTTAAGGAAGCCGGGGGCGTGGCCCGGGGCGGGGCTTCAGGGGCGGGGCCCGGGCGGGGCCTTCGCGAAGCTGCCGGAAGGTGCGGCCCCAGAGCGCCCGCGAGCGGCGCGGTGAGACATGGCCTCGGGCAGGTGAGTCTGGCGCGCGGCGGCCCAGAATCCTGGACCCCAGGAAAAGCGCCTACGGCCTCGACGGGTGGGCGTGGCGAGATGCCACCCGGGACCTCCTCGCGCTCCCAGCTGGGTCGCCCCTCAGACCTGGGGTCCCGGACTCCTGCCGTCCTCCACCCTCAGGCCCTGCCGGGACACTCTGGTCCCTGGCCCGCCAGGCCTGGCCTGACTCAGGCGGGTGGAAAGGGCTGCAGAGGTTGGGCCTAGGTGAGGGTCAGCAGCACCCCTACCCGGGGGAAGGTGCCTTGCGGGTGGCGGGCACAGCCTCTCCCTCTGTCCTCTTACCCCGTGCCCTGCTCCAGACTCCCTTTTTGGCCACCGGGGATGCAGTCTGTTGGGGGGCACCCCGCTTTTCCTAGTCCTGAAACTGAGGCAGCAACACCAGGGGATCCTGGAGGTGAAGCCCTCTGCCCTCCCCACCCAGGCGTGGTCTGCCCACCTCCCAGGACCCGGTTCTCTCTGGAGGACTCACTTCCCTTCCAGACCCCCCGGGGCCCAGTGTAGAGGGTGGATCCCTGTCTGGTCGCGGGGCTCAGGGCCGGGGGTGCGTCGGAGCTGGGACGGGCGGCAGGTCGGGCCTGCTTCCTGCCTCCAGAGAGGGGGTGGTACGTGTACGGCAGCCGGGCACTTCCTGCCCTTTCTGCTTGACCCCTGCACCCTCCGCGTGTGCCCACATGCAGGCTCACCCTGCAGCGTGCATTGGCGGTCAGCCGGGAGCTTCGGAGGTGACAGCCACTCGTCACCGCTTCCCAGCTCCAGGCGCAGCACCCAGAGCCCCTCCTCTGGAGCTTGAGGCTTGGTGAACCTGGAGCTCACAGCAGTTGCTCTGTGACCCTGAGTGACCCCCAGGTCCATGAAGGAACCAACAGGGCTCACAGGTCTTCTCCCAGCCTGAGCTCAAGGTCCATAACCCAAAGTAGAGACCCTTGACCCACCCTGCCCAGCAGTGCCCCAGCAGTCAGGGGCCTGGATCGCTAGGGCAGAGGCCCAGGTGTGTGGGGGGACCCAGGCAGCCTCCAGCACAGTCTTGGGCTTCTCAGGCGTGGGAACAGTGGACTGAGTTGGATCACAGAATCTGTCCGCCCAAAGCCCCGTGCCTGTCATGTTCAGCGTCCAGCTGGAGCCCAGGAAGGAGGAGGCTACCTGTGTACTGTCCATTTCAGGCACTGGTTGGCAGGCCCTGGGCAGAGTGCTGGTGCCCAGGGAGAGCCATGTGCCTGTCATCGGCCTGTGACCCGGGGCCTGCCTGGGAAAGCCCGGGGCTGGACTCCGCCGCAACCTGGCCACCCCCTCCGCGCCCCGCGCTGGGACGGCCATTTGGACTGTCAGTCCTCTGGCCCCTGAGACCCTGCCCACAGCCCTATCAGGCCTGGGCAGTCCCAGCCAAATCCCGGGGTAGATCCACCATGCTGCCCCCAGCCCCCTCCTCGCGGTCTGCCACATCAGCGTCACCTCTGTGGACACCACTCGGCCCTGGGGCTCCTGTGCAGCGCGGCGGGGCTGGCAGGGTTGTGCCCCGTGCGTGTCTTGCGGCAATGATGGTGTCTGGGTCCTGGGTCCCTCGGGGGTGGACCCACCGAGCTCCTGGGTTTCCTGTGCTTCGGGGGCTGGGGAGGGAATCGTGACTGTGGCTGGTGTCGGGGGCAGAGCCCACCCTGGTTGTGGTTCCTCTGGGTCCTGAGGGGTCAGCCCTGGGGGCTGCAGGAGAGACCTGGAGGTTCTAGGGAGGGAGGTGGAACGGGCACTTCCCGTGCTCTGAGACCCTCTTGGACACCTGGCACCATCAAGATGCAGGTGTGGGCTGGGCGCGGTGGCTCAGCTGTAATCCGCTTGGGAGGCCGAGACGGGCGGATCACGAGTCAGGAGATCGAGACCATCCTGGCTACACAATGAACCCGTCTCTACTAAAATACAAAAAAATTAGCCGGGAGGTGGCGGGCGCCTGAGTCCCACTACTCGGAGCTGAGGCAGGAGAATGGCGGGACCCGGAGGCGGAGCTTGCAGTGAGCCGAGATAGCGCCACTGCACTCCAGCTGGCAGAGCGAGACTCCGTCTCAAAAAAAAAAAAAAAAAAAAAAAAAAAAAAAAAAAAAGATGCAGGTGTGGCCAGGCCCCAGCGTGGGGGAAAGCAGCCCCCATATGGTGTGTGTGTGTACTTGTGTGTTTGTGGGTGTATATGTGTGTGTGTGTGTTTGCAGCCCCCATACCGTGTGTGTGTTTTATGTGTGTATGTGTGTTTGTATATGTGTGTGTGTTTGTGTGTGTGTGTATGTGTGTGTGTGTGTGTTTGTGTGTGTGTTTATGTGTGTGTGTGTTTATGTGTGTATGCCACCCCATACCGTGTATGTGTGTATTTGTGTATGTGTGTTTGTGTGTGTGTGTGTGTATGCCGCCCCCATACCGGGTGTGTATGTGTGTGTGTGTTTGTGTGTGTGTGTGTGTAATGCCGCCCCATACCAGGCGTGTGTGTGTGTTTGTGTGTGTGTGTTTATGTGTGTGTATGCCACCCCATACCGTGTGTGTGTTTTTGTGTATGTGTGTGTATTTGTGTATGTTTGTATGTGTGTGTTTGTGTGTATGCGTGTTTGTGTGTGTGTGTTTGTGTGTGTGTGTTTATGTGTGTGTATGCTGCCCCCATACCGGGTGTGTGTGTTTTTGTGTGTGTATGTGTGTGTATGCCGCCCCCATACTGGGTGTGTGTGTGTTTATATGTGTGTGTGTGTGTGTGTGTATCTGTGTGTATGTGTGTGTGTGTGTCTCTGTGTGTGTGTGTGTATGTACATTGACAAGCCATTCACGAACCCTGCAACCCACACTTCTCCTCAGGGGGAGTCCCAGTGTCCCAGGGCTGGAGCCGTCCCCACTACGGATGAGACACGAAGACCAGGGCCATGCAGGGAGCTGCAGCAGCCGATGGCCGGTCTGGGTCAGGATGACCTCTTGGGTGACTTCATCTGTCTGGTGTCATTAGACCTGTTGGGGGACCTTGGGGGTCTGAAACCCAGTGTGTCCTGCCCACGGCCAGTCCCCTCGCCCCTCCCGCTGTGGGCCTGTCACCAGGGTAGAGCTGAGCCACTGGCCCACCGTGGAGCCAGGACCCCTTCGGCACAGAGGTGACCCTGGGCCCTCTAGAGAGGGTCCAGGCCTTCCAAACCTCTCCTGCCTGAGCAGCACCACCAGAGGGAGGGATGGGAGCTGGGAACCTGGGCCGCGCCCTCTTCCCCCACGCCTGCTGGGCACCCAGCTCCACCTCCAGGCCCAGGTGTGAGGCCCACGCTCAGCCTGGGATTGCACTGGGCTGGCCGGGAGCGGGGAGTGGGGATGCGGTGATGCTGGGGGCGGTGGTGTGATCTGCTGCAGCCTCGGGGCCCCGCCCCTGGAGATTTCCACGCGACAGACTTGGTGGCGGCTTTCGGGCAGGAGGAGGGGTTGGAAAGTGTGATGGAGGAGTCACATGAGGTCCCTCCCCGGCTCTGTATCTCCACCCCTGTCCCTGCCTGCACACCCTGGGCGTCGCCCGTCTTGGGGTGGAGGCTGAGGCTGTGGGGCTGGGGAGGGGCAGCAGGTGTGGGATGTGGTTCAGCAGAGTGGGCAGCCCAGGCCGGGGCTGGAAGCTGCCTCCTGGGTTCCCGTCCGTTCCCCTGGCCCCGCAGCATTTCAGTGCCGGCCCGGGGATGCGCTTACCCTTTCCCGGTGGCCTCACCTGCTCTCCTGTGACTGGCCCTGGAGGTCACCACATGGCACTCCTCCTCCAGGAAGCCTTCCCTGGTAGCCTCCCCCATGGCCACTGAGTGGGAACTGCCCCCAGGTCTGGCTCCCCCATGGAGCTAGTTTCATGGGAAGGAGCTTAGGGCGCCAGGCCCAGCAAGTGCCCAGGACGTGCCTGGCGGGCGATCCCCCCTTCCCCACAGGCCAGGTGTAGATGGAGGTGTTGCTCACTGCTGGGTGGCCGTGCACAGATCATCTGAGCTCCTGAGCCTCCCTGAACCAGTGTGCAGGCCCTGGGGCGCCATGAGGCTGGAAGGGGGCCGACCTCACGGGCTCTTGTCTAGAGGCGAAGACACAGGGAGAGAGTGAACGCAAATGTGGGTGCTGCCTGCCATTATCAGCGCTGAATGCAGAAGCAGGGACAGGGATGGGGCTGCAGGGCCAGCCCGGGAGGGCCCCTCTGGAGGTGTGTGCCGTACCTCATGGGGCAGGCCCAGCAGGCTGGCCAGGCCCGGGTGGACAGAATTTTGCGTTTCCCGAGAGCCGTGGCTTGGCTATGGGGTCAGAGTCAGGCAGAACGGAACCAATAGTCCCGGTAGGCCGAGGCGGTCGGGGGAGAAGTGGTCAGCTCTGGGCACCCTTTTTTTTTTTTTTTTTTTTGAGATGGAGTCTCGCTGTGTTGCCCAGGCTCTAGTGCAGTGGCGTGATCTCGGCTCACTGCAAGCTCCGCCCCCGCCCGGGTTCACGCGGTTCTCCTGCCTCAGCCTCCAGAGTAGCTGGGATTACAGGTGTGTGCCACCACGCCTGGCTAATTTTTGTATTTTTAGTAGAGACGGAGTTTCACTATGTTGGCCAGACTGGTCTTGAACTCCTGACCTCATGATCCACCCTGCTGGGATTACAGGCGTGAGCCACTGCGTGTGGCCTCTGGGCACCTTTTGAAGGTAGGACGAGAGGAACTGATGGATCGGAGCCGGTGGGGAGTGCCAAGGGGGGCCGGAGGCAGGGCCGCCACCCTTGCCCGCGTGGGGAAGATGAAGAACGGGGTGTGGGGGGCGGGGACAAGACCAGGAGCTTTGGGTTTTGAAGATGGTGGGAACGAGGCGCTGCTGGCTTTTTCCAAACGAAGCTGCTGAGACCAGGTGTCTGAGTTTGGAGCTCAGAGCAGAGGTGGCGCTGGACGGGCTGAGGCTCTGCGCAGACAGAAGAGCCAGGGCCTGTGGGCTCCCATCGAGGAGGAGGAGGACAAAGGGCCCTGGCCAGGGCAAGGTGGGAAGCCGGGAAACGCAGCCTCCGCACAGCCACGCGGAGAAGGCGCCGTTGGAAGGAGGTGGCACGGATGGCCTTGGAGGCTGCTGAGGACCGGCTGGGCCCCAAGGTCCATGGGGACCCTGAGAGCCACGTCCTCTGTGGGCTTGGAGGGCGGGACACAGCTCTGGAGACACGGGAGAGGACTGGCCGTGCTGACCAGCACCACAGTGTTCCTGAGTGGCGGCAAAGTTGCTGTTGCTGAATTTTATTATTATTATTTCATTTATTTTTATTTTTTGAGACAGAGTTTTGCTGTTGTTGCCCAGGCTGGAGTGCGGTGGCGCGATCTCGGCTCACCGCAACCTCCGCCTCTCAGGTTCACGTGATTCTCCTGCCTCAGCCTCCCGAGTAGCTGGGACTACAGGCACCATCACGCCCAGCTAATTTTGTGTTTTTAGTAGAGACGGGGTTTCACCATGTTGGCCAGGCTCGTCTCGAACTCCTGACCTCAGGTGATCTGCCTGCCTCGGCCTCCCGAAGTACTGGGATTTCAGGCGTGAGCCACCGTGCCCGGCCATGAATTTTAATTCATTCACATTTACAAATCACACAGCCATACATGCTTCTTCCAAGAGAAGCTGTGTTCAGAGGGGAGCAGAGGGACAGGAGCTGCAAGGAGTGGAGGCAGGGCCCGAAGGAGGAGGAGGAGCTGGGGCCCCAGGAGAGGGACCTGGCCAGGGTGGGCTGGAGCCGGGGATGGGGTCCCTCCTATCCCCTTCCCTCCCTCCCTCGCCCCCCTTCCCCCCTTCTGCCCCTCTTTCCCTCCCCTTCCCTCCCTCCCTCCCCGCTTCCCTCCATCCCCTCCTTCCCTCCACCCCTCCCTCCCTCCCTCCCTCCCTCAGTCACTCACTCTTTTTTGCTGACATTCTGGCCTCTGGGGCTGCCACCCGAGTACAATGTAGTCCTAGGCTCTGGAGTCCTGTGCCTCGAAAGTAAGGGGCAGTTGTGATCTCGGACGTGGGCTCCAGGGCAGCCCTGACCTCGTGGGGGGCTGTGGACAAGGAGGGTCCTGGGAACAGGGTGGCTGTTCACCAGGAAGGGGCAGGGCTGCAGCCTCAGCCTCCCCTCCAGGTGCTGGCAGCACCAGCCTCTGCCTGCGTGGGGCCCCGAGGTTTGCAGAGCCAAAGTCCAGCTCCTCAGTGACACCCCCAAGCTTCCTGACCTGCCCCGCCTGAGACACAGAGCGAGGCTCCCTGGGGCTGCACAGGCATCTGCTGGCCTCTCGCCCCCCCTCCCTGTGCACCCACCCGTCACTCTGTCGAGTGTCTCAGTCCCAGTGTTACGGCCCCGTCCCTCTGTCGAGTGTCTCAGCCCCAGTGTTACGGCCCCGTCCCTCTGTCGAGTGTCTCAGTCCCAGTGTTACGGACCTGGGACGCTGCAGTGCGGGGAACAGCTTCTGTCCTCCGGGAGATGAGAACCTGTCGTCAGGCAGCTGGGTTGCTGAAACAGTGACCATAAGCTGGGCAGGCAGGCAGCTCCTTCCCTCAGCTCTGGAGGCTGGAAGTCCGAGATCCTGGCCGTGGAGGTTGCAGGGTGGAGTGGATGGAGCTGCTGAGAGCCTCGGGGGCGTGTGGAGAAGGAGGGAGCCCCACTGGCCCCAGGCCCTGCCACTTGGGGGAGAATTCTAGCCCGTCCGTGTCCCTGGGACCCCACAGCCCCTGGCCAGTGACCATTCCTGGCTTTGAGCACAGTGGCCTCAAGCCACCATCGTGGGTGTTACCATGGAAACAGTGAGGAAAGTTTGTGTGGGGCCAGACTCCTCCTCTGGGCACTGACCTGCTCTCCCCACTCCGGGTGGCTCCACCCCGAGGTCCGCGGGGTGGAGGCGGAGCAGCTGTTCCTCTCCAGGGGTCAGTGTGGGAACTTCCTTGCCAGGCCCAGCGAGAGCAGCCCCGGGGGCTTCATGGTGTCCGTCAGGGCATGGACAGGCTCTGGTTGAAGGCCTTGTGGGGTCTGGACGTCCTCAGCTGGGGGCCTGGGGCAATTCACACCTGGGTCCTCCTGGAGGGCCGGTGGGCAGCTTCCTGGACACAAGGCCTTGGTGCAGGGGGCCGACGCGCTGGGAAGGTTGTGAGAGTTGGACGTAGTGCTGGGCGGCCTCTGGGCGGGAAGGAACTATTTAGAGAGGCCTTTGGGGAGGCCTCATTGAGTCAGGGGCTCCGCAGGACCCTTTCCTGCCCTGTGAGGGGCCTGGGGACAGGCAGGGCTTCCGGGGCTGTGACTGTGTTGCCAGAGCCTGGGGGTGCAGCTCCGGTGCCTGCTGGGCTGCCAGGACCCCACGTCAGAGTGGTGAGCTCTGGCCCGGCATCCATGTGTCTGTCAACACGCATGTGTGTGTTCGTGTGTTCATGTGTTTGTGTGTGTTTGTGTGTGTTCATATGTGTGCGTATGTTCGGGTGCACACACGTGCGTGTGCATGTGTGCATGTTCGTGTGTCGTGTGTTCATGTGTGTGGTCGTGTGTTCGTGTGTTCATGTGTGTTTGGGTACGCATGTGTTTATGTGTGCTCATGTGTTCATGTCTGTGTGTCGTGTGTTCATGTGTTCGTGTGTGTGTTTATGCATGTGTTTGTGTGTGTTTGTGTGTGAGTGTGCATGTGTGTGAGTGCACGTGCCTGCATCCTGAGGGATGGCGTCTGCTAAGCACTGGTTCAGGGCATGACTGCAGCAAAGCAGAGGGTGCAGGGTCCTGCACCTGCCTCCCCCAGGCCTCCTTCCTTCAGGTCTCAGGCACTGGAGTCCAGGGTGACTCAGGGGAGCCAGTGCCTGCCCTGGCCCCATCCCTGCCCTCCTGGCTGTTGCCCTGGGCTGAGCCAGTTCCTCCAGCCTCGGTTTCCCCACTGCAGGGTCCTGCATCTACAGGGAAGGAGGCCTGGTCTGGGGAGGCCGCCCGGCCCCTCCTTGCTGAGGACCAGGCTGCCACCTGGTGGCCGCCCACCCCTGCAGCGCCCGCCTGCCTCCTGCAGGCTCCTGGGTGGGCAAGGGCCAGAAAGGTGGGCAGAGCAGCTCTGGGGCCTGGGTGGGGGCGCTGCCTGGACCCCAAGGTCTGCGTATGTCTCACTGAGCCTTCTGCCCCATCTGTGTGGGTCTCTCCCCCTCACCTGGCCAGGCCGTGGCCTCCAGCCTCACCTGAGCTCCCCTTTGCCTGGGCCAGGTAGTACCACGGGAGCTTGTCTGGCAAGGAGGCTGAGAAACTGCTGCTGCAGAAGGGGCGTCCGGGCAGCTTCCTGGTGCACGAGAGCCAGAGCAGTCCTGGGGACTTGCCGCTGTCAGTGCTGACGCAGGAGTGGGACAAGGCGCAGGGCGTGGGCTGCCAGCCACGGGTCACCCACATCTTGATTTGCTTCCAGGTGGGAGGCGGCGGTGGGCTGGGGCGGCCTCTGGGAAGGGCAGGCAGCCTTGGCCAGGCCCCTCACCGCCGCCCCCACAGCCAGATGAGAAGTACGACGTGGGAGACAGGGAGCACTTGGATACCCTCGGAGACCCAGTGGAGCCCGACGATGGAGAAGGCGGGGGCTGTGGTGCACCTCAAGCAGGTAGGCCCCTGCACAGGCACCAGAGCCGAGGGCACAGCCTCACCCAGGAAGGCAGCTGGGGGTCCACTGGGGTCAGGGATGACCCCCTACCAGGGGAGCCCCCAGGCGCCTGAATGGCCACGGGAAGGAGAACCTGCAAACCCCTCTGTGTGTCCTCCTGGCACGTGGCGACCTCCGTGACCCGATGAGGGCGCAGGAGCAGGCCAGGGTGGCCACGTGCAGGGGCACAGGGCCCGGGGCAGGGTGACCAGACGCAGGGGTGCGGGGCTGGGCCAGGGTGGCCAGGTGCAGGGGCCCGGGGCAGGGTGACCAGATGCAGGGGTGTGGGGCTGGGCCAGGGTGGCCGATCTTGGGGGGGGCCTGGGGCAGTGCCCCGGTGGGGCTGTGGTGGGGGCCGCAGGGCCCTGGGGGGCTGTGGTGGAGTCTGTAGGACTCTCAGTGGTTGTGGTGGGGTCTGCAGGGCCCCGGGGGGCTGTGGTGGAGTCTGCGGGGCCCTGAAGTGTTGTGGGGTCTGCGGGGCCCTGGGTCCCCCTGAACTTAGATGCAGGCCTCTCCCTGGCAGCCCCTCAAGGCCACAAGGATCAGTGCTCGGAGCCTGGAGCGCTGTGTGCAGGAGCTTAGCAGGGCCACCGATGCCAGCGGGAAGGCCAGGCAGGGCTTCTGGGTGGAGTTCGAGGTGTGTCCTGACCTCTGCGACCCTCAGACTCTGTCCCCTGGGGCTGGGAGCACAGGGTCCGGGACTGTAGGGTCCAGCCCTGCGGGGCTTAGCGGGCGTTCTCCCCATGTGCGGAAACGAGAGATTGTAATAAAGACACAAGACAGCGATAAAGAGAAAGCAGCTGGGCCCAGGGAACCACTGCCATCAAGACACGGAGACCGGTAGTGGCCCCGAACGGCTGGGGGCGCTGATATTTAATGGATACAAGACAAGGGGGCAGGGTAAGGAGGGTGAATCTTCTAAGTGATTGACAAGGTGAAGCAAGTCATGTGATCACGGGACAGGGGGCCCTTCCCTTTTAGGTATCAGAAGCAGAGCGAAGGCAGCATACCTCAGCGTTTTCTTCTCTGCACTTACAAGAAAGACCAAAGGCTTTAAGATTTTCACTATTTCTTCTACCGCTGTCTACTACGCACTTCAAAGAGGAACCAGGAGTACGGGAGGAGCATGAAGGTGGACGAGGAGCATGACCACTGAAGCACAGCGCCACAGGGAGGGGTTTAGGCCTCCGGATGACTGCGGGCAGCCCTGGATGATATCCAGCCTCCCACAAGAAGCTGGTGGAGCAGAGCGTTCCCTGACTCCTCCAAGCAAAGGAGACTCCCTTTCGCGGTCTGCTAAGTAACGGGTGCCTTCCCAGACACTGGCGTTATCGCTTGACCAAGGAGCCCTCAAGCGGCCCTCATGCGGCGTGACAGAAGGCTCACCTCTTGTCTTCTTCGTCACTTCTCACAATGTCCCTTCAGCACCTGACCCTACACCCACCCGTTATTCCTAGGTTATATTAGTAATGCAACAAGGAGTAATATTAAAAGCTAATGATTAATAATGTTTATAATAATGATTGATAATTGCCCGTGATCATCTCTGTATCTAATTTGTATCATGACTATTCTTACTCTATTTTCTTTATTATACTGAAACAGTTTGTGCCTTCAGTCTGTTGCCTCAGCACCTAGGTTCTCTTCTGCCCACACAGGACAAGGTGGGGTTGGCCATCTAGGGCTCTGGGAAGGAGCCTGGGCTGTGAACTGAAGGCTCCATCACCTCCAGATGCTGCAGCAGCAGGAATGCTGGTTCCTGTACCCTGGAAAGGAGGGGCAGAGGGTAGAGAACAAGCCCAAGAATCACTGTGAGGGCAGAGGCCAGGGCGTCACCCGTCGGGCCTGGGGAAGGTCGGGGGCAAGCCAAGCATCTGCCACCACGGACCTGAGGCTTCCCCTCCCACACCCTGGACCCTCCATCTCTGCTCACCACGGGGTCTGCAGGCAAAGAGGCAGGGTTGGGCCCACGAGCTCTGCCCTGGAGAACTGAGCGGCACCTCCCTTCCCAGTTGACACCACCTGAGTCATCTTGCTCGACAAGGATGACAGTGGGCCTGGAGCCGACTACATCAGGGTGGGTGTGCGCAGGAGGTGGGGCCTGGGCCCATTGCTCCTGGGGGGCCCAGGAAGAACCAGGGTCCCCAGGGGAGGGGTGGGCAGCAGTCCCCAAGGGGTCCTCAGAGAGGCTGGACGGGCATAGGTCCTCAGCCCCTTGCTGGCCTGGAGTGAGGAGTGTGTTTGAGCCACCAGAGCTCCTTTGCTTAGTATTTGCATAATATTTGCATAGCATTTGCATGGACTTGTTTGTCCTCTGGAAACAGCAGCAGTTGGCCTCATCCCCTTTCAGACTGACCCTGAGGAGGAGCCAGGCCATGGCGGGTGTACATCGCCACACAGGGCTGTCTGCAGGCCGTGGTGCACCAGGAGAACATGCGTGGCATTGTCACCACCAGCAGGGAGGTGGAGCGAGGCCGGGTAGGGGCGTGGTGCCAGCACTCCCAGTGCCCATCCCACCCTGTGCATCTTCAGCTGCCCAAGGCCCTTCCCGACCAGGCCAAGGAGCCTGTGGGACGCTGTGGGAGTGGGGAGGCTCCCACAGAGCCCCATGGCTGCATGTACACGCATGCATCTCTGCAGGGCGCAGGGGCAGGGTGTTGGGGGCCTGCCGGCAAGGCTGATGCGAACCACTCCCCCAAGAACAAGTGTTTCCGGGACTGGCCCAGAGTTTGGCTGGGTGCATGTGGGCATCCTGGGTGAGGGCCAGGCCCAGGGCTACTGCGTGCAGGAGCTGCAGGTGTGGCGGCCGGGCCAGGTGAGCCTGGCAGCAGGGGAGGGTGCCTACCATGGACCTGCACTGGGAGACCCCCACACCTGCCTGCATCCAACCCCACCGCCTTTGGGGACTTCCACACCCCTCAACCCAGGAGGTGCAGTTCAAGCCTGGGCAGGGGTCACTGAGGTGGCCACATTCTCAGCCCGAGGCTGGTGGCCACTCCCCCCACACACCTCTCAAAACTGCAGCTTTGGTCTCCGTTGCATACCAGCGGCGCCCATTTCTGTCCCAGGCAGATTCCCTCCTGCTCCCCCCAGCCCCCGCCAGTGTGTGTGAGGGGTCCCCCAGGCCGCCATGGAGCCCTCGCATTTGGTTTTTCCTTATAGAATCACTGTCCTCACAGCCTGCTTCCCCTGCCCCAGCTTCCTCTTGCCTTCCCCAGGCACCTGAGCCACCTGGGGCCATCTCGGCGCCCCTCCCCGTTTCCTCCCTCCTCCTGCTCCACGTGGCCCCCGCAGTCCCTCCACCTGGGCACTCCCGGCAAACCCAGCTGTGCCTCAGCCTCGTCCTCCCCCCGCCCTTCCCCCACGGGGGGTCGCACTCAACGCCTGCTCCGCCCGGAGGAGCCACCGCACAGGGCGCGGCACTTCCAGCACTTCGGCTGGCCGGACTACGGCGTCCTCGGCTTCCGGGACGAGGTGAACCGGGCCCAGAGCAGCGAGCGGGAGGCCGGGCCCGTGGGGGTGCCCTTCAGGTGCGGCGGGGCGGGGCCACGCGGGACGATGCGGGCGGAGCCATCGGGTGGCGCGGGGCGCCCCCGCCCCCCAATCCCATCGAAGGCCGCCTGGTTTGTCCTCAGCGCGGGCATCGGACGCACCGGCACCATCATCGTGATTGACATCCTGGCAGACGTCATCCGCAGGCAGGTGAGCTCCTCCTCCCTGGGTGCCTCCACCCTGCCCGGCAAGCCCCGCCCCTCATCCGTAGCCCCTCCCTAAGCGCGCGCGTTCCCGGGGCTGGACCGCGAGATCGACGTCCCTATCCAGCTGGTTCGGCGGCAGCGCTCGGGGATGGTGCAGAGGGAGGCTCAGGACAAGCTCGTGCACCTGGCGCTGCAGCGATGCATCCAGGGCGGGCGACTGCGCCTGCGCGAGCAGGCGGGGGCGGGGCCTTGCGGGGCGGGGCCTCGCGGGCGTCGCCATGGTGACCGGCGGCCCCTCCCCACAGCTCGAGCCGCCCCAGGAGCGCGAGAACCAAAAAGTGGGCACCGCCCCCCGCGAATCGGGTTGCAGCCCCCGTCCCGCGTCTCCCCGGGCGCCCGCAGTGTGAGTGGAGAGCCGGGGCCGGGCCGGGGTCCTCCGGGAGGGACTGGGACGTGCGGGGCGCCGGGCTGAGCCGCTGCTCCGCGCGCAGGACCCCGCAGCCCTGGACGCGAACCTGCAGAGCCACGGGTGTTTGAGGAGCCCGCGTGGGGCCGGAGCCGCGGGCCGGCACTGTGTCCGGGACGGAGCCACAAGCTGTCCCCAGCTCAGGGAGGCCCAGGGGCGGCAGAGGGAGCGGCAGGCAGCGAAGCCCACCCGTGACCACATGTGAACCCGTGTGCGCCACCAGCTCAGCCACTCAGTGCGGGTCTGAGCGGCCAGGACACCAGGCTGCCCTCACAGCAGCTCCCGTCTGCCGGCCCTGCCTGCTCCCGTGGTCTGGGATGTGGCCCCATCAGTCACAAGGTGGATGTTTGTGGAGTGAGGTGGGTGTGACATATTCATGTGGCTACCCGTGCAGCGTCACGCGCCTGGCCCTGCCGATGACAAGGGTGTGGGCCTGCGTGGGCATGACCGTGTGTGTGACACAGAGTGATGTCGCTGTGACCCGTGGCTGCACTCCCCACATCACCGGCTTTGCGGCCTACCTGTGAAGTGCTGTGTTCTCCCTTCTGTGTCTTTGTTGGGACCTGGGGCAAGGGTGGGTGTGGTGCCCACAGCCGGAGTCAGCTTCTGTGGGGCCTTCCTGAGCCCTCCCCATCCTGGATCAGAGGCCCAGCTGGTTGGAGCAGGAAGTACCTGGGCTCTGGGGTCAGGGATGAGAAGGCCGAGGAGGCCTGCGTGAGCTGGAACTGGCCTGGGCCCTCCTGGCCGTGCCTGCCTGGTGGTGCAGGATTCCTGGGGCTGATGACAGACGGGGTAGGGCTGGGGTTGGCAAGCCTCCTGCGGAGGCCTCACGAAGCTGCACTCTGCCCTTCCCCAGCCAGGCTGGCCCGGGAGTTGCCGGAGGGTCTGTGGATCTGCAGACTGCCGGCTGTTACCTTTCCTTCTCGGTTCCCACAGGGGTCATGGGTTCTGTGGCTTTCCAGTCAGGGACGCTGGCAGGGCCATGGGCATGAAATCCTGGAGGTGTGGCCTAGTATGGCCACAGTGGGGGATGGGGAAGAGAAAGGCCCCCTTTGTCAGCCACTGGGCTCTGAGCCAAGCTGACGCCCTCCCCCTGGTCAGGCCCCAAGCGTCCCCGGGGAGCCTCACACCGGTGAGTCTCCAGCCAACTCCAGAAACCCCCAGCCTGTCCGTAGCCAGAGGGGCTGGGAGTTGGACCCCCTGAAACCTTGGGCCCACCTGTCCCAGTGTCTGCCAGGAGTCTAATCCTGTCAGGGTATCATCTGGGTTGAGGCTGCAGCAGGCGCACCCAAGGTGAGGCCCTCTTACCAAAGATGGATACAAATAATTTATTTTAAAATGTACAAGGGCAGCTGGAGGTTTCTGCGGTTACCTTGCACTGGGGGGCTGCCCTGCCTCCACTCTCTCCCCACAGTCAGAGGGCAAGACTGGCATCCCCACCCAACGGTGGGGCCAGCCCTGAGGGGGACATGTCGGCATGAGTCGAAGCATGGCAAGGCCCCTTCCTTCTTGGCAAGGGGCTTCCCTGGCAGGCAAGTCACACTGTGTGTAGGTGGCAGGAGCGCTGACCAGCTTCTCTCCTGGGCGCTTCCTGTAGGAGCCTGGTTTTTTATTTTTGTTTTTGTTTTTTTCAATTTGAGATAGGGTCCCGCTGTTTCACCCAGGCTGGATGCAGTGGTGCAATCTTGGCTCACTACAACCTCCACCTCCTGGGTTCAAGCAATTCTCCTGCCTTAGCCTCCCGAGTAGCTAAGAGACGCCTGCCACAACACCCAGCTAATTTTTGTATTTTTAGTAGAGACAGGGTTTCACCACGTTGGCCAGGCTGGTGTTGAACTCCCGACCTCAAGTGATCCTCCCGCCTCAGCCTCCCAAAGTGCTGAGATGACAGGCATGAGCCACCGCGCCCGGTCAACCTGTGGTTCCCGGAGGCTTTGGGGACCCTCTTGTCCACCCCGTCAGGACCCAGCCTGGAGAGTGAGGGGTGGACAAGCTAAATGGAGCCTGGTCTTGGTGGGGCCCAGAAGGAGTCTTCAGAGACGCCAGGCTCCTTTTGCATCCTCAGGGATCGACTTCCAGTGGCTGCTGCGCCTTTGAGCCCCCCAGTGGGGGACCCACCCGTGGAGCTGGGTGAGGGCGGCTGACCTGTGCAAAGGCCGGTGGCCCTAGTTGTCAGTCAGAGGCCCGCGGGGGGAGGCGGCTGTGGTGGGGGCCGGGGGCCGGGGGGGCAGCGGCAGGCAGCGCAGGTTCCCAGTCTTGATCGCGCACTGCACCGGCCAGAGTGCCACGCAGAAGAGCACCAGCAGCAGGGCAGAGACCAGTGCCATGCGCCTCCAGTCCCTGCAGCGCATCCAGCAGCGGGCCAGGCGGCCCCGGCGGGGGGCAGGGTCCTGGGCGGGTGCGGGCGGCTCGGCAGGCTTGCTCAAACCCACGTCCACACATACAAAGCTGGGCTTGTGGCCAGGTGTGGTGGGCAGTGGTTGGCAGCACAGCTTGGTGCCCTCCAGCCACACGGGCTCCTCGCGCCGCAAATGCGCTGGCATCCGGGCCTGCAACTGGCGGCTGGTGCGCAGTGCGGGAGCTCCGGCAGGCGGCACGGTCGTGGGCTGCCTGCAGAAGGGGCAAGGTACAGCCTCACCGCCAGGGCGGCCCACAGGCTGAGCAGCCGCCAGCCGGGCCAGGCACTCCAGGCAGAAGACGTGGGTGCAGGAGAGCTCCTTGGGCGTCTTGAAGATGTTGTCATAGCCTGAGAAGCAGATGGAGCACTCCAGGGGGGAGGCCACCTTCTCCGAGCCAGGGGTGCCAGGGGACCTGGGGCTGCCAGCCGAGCTGGGGGACCTGGGCATCGAGGCTGTGGAGCTGCTCCGGCGATGGGGGGGCACGGCCGTGTGCCACACCTGCTGGCCGGACGACATGTCTCGGAGCTGTGGGACAGGGACCGTGCTGAGCAACCACAGGCCGCCCCTTTCTGGTGGTCTTTTACCTCCCCCTCCCCTCTCTTGCCCGGAGATCCCAGGGAAGGGCTCTGTTCCCCGTGCGCCACTCCAGAAAGTTCCTTCGGTGCCCCGGAGGTCATTCTGCCCCACGTGCAATCCTGCCCTCTCCGCCCCATCACACGGCTGCACCGGGTGAGCCTCCCACGGGACCCCAGGCCGGCTCCAGGAATGCAGGCCGTGTGCACGGGGGTCTCGCCGACTGCTCGGCAGACACCTCCTGTCGGCCCTGCCTCACCTGGCTGGCCGACAATATTCTGCCTGGGCAGAAATAATGGTGAGGATGACGATAGCCACAGTGGTCACTGTTTATGTCAGGGCTCTGCAAGGCTGGGCCCACGTCAGGGGACTCACAGTGTGGAAAAGGCTGCCCAGAGCATGGGTGACTCAGCCAGGGCCACCCCAAGGGAGCCAGCAGGCCCTGGACCCTGGAGGATATGGCTCTCAGGCAGGCCAGGGGCTCCAAGTCAAGTGAAGTGAGTTTGAATTCGGATCCCAGGATGGGTGCCTGGCTTGGGCGGTGCAGGCCCGATTTGCAGGCAGCTATATGAGGGTGGCGTGTGGGGGTCTCTGGGTCTGGGGACCGGGCTGAGCCCCGGGGGGCTTCGGGACGACAGGGACAGGGATCAGTGCCCAAGGAAGGTGAGTGTCAGGCACAACCTGGGGCCTGCAGGGCCAGCTTGTCTGGCTGCTGAGGGTCTGATGTGCACGGCGGAGGACTGGGACTTGGATAAGCCCAGCCATTCCCTCTGGGCCCACTGCCTGATGGTCAGGTGATGGTCAGGGCACCCTCAGCCGCCCACTGAGTGGGTGTTTCTTCTCCCTGACCCACTCCCACTTCATGGCAGGGGCCCTGGGGGACAGACACTGGGGGACGCTGCTCTGCCCCTGGGTGTGGCTCAGGTGGGCATCTCAGCTGACCTGGGACCCGGCTCCACCTCCCGCCCCTCCCCTGCACCCAGGATCCCCTGCAGGGGTCCCAGCTGGAGGGAAGTGGGCAAGGGTGAGAGTGAGCCTCAAGGGCCTGGCTGTGCATCTCCTTGGGGCCCAGGAGGATGCCCCAGAAGTGACTCCTGGCACTGCCCTGGCCCGCCCATGACTTGCCAGTGAGTCCCAGACAGGCTGGCAGGATGACACAGGCCACTGTGACCATCTGAGTCACGCACCATCACGGTGAGGCCGTGAGTGCCCCAGGCACTGGGACCTGGGGACTGTGCTCTGTGGCTTGTGCACCCCACAGAACCGGTTCCTTGGCACCAGGCCCCACCCCTCCATGATGGTGCCCCACCCTGAGCCTGTGCAGGTAAGGGGTGAACACAGGCTGAGCTGGCCTTACCTGGTGGCCGGGGGTCAGCGGGTCCTGGGCATGGTCCTCCTCACTGGCCACGGCTGGGCTCCAAGGCCCTGGGCTGTCCTGCCCTGGCAGAGTTTGCTTCCTTGTCTCCGGGCCCAGCCCGGCCTGTGCTTCATCTGGCAGGTATCCCTCCTGGGGCCAATCACCAGTAGCTGTCCCGGTGGCACTGGTCTGGCAGGTGTGGCTTCTGCTGCGTCCAAGACAGGTGGGGACACAGGGAACGTGTGTGCCCTCGCCCGCGCAGAGCTCTGGTCTGAGGCAGGTGTGAGTTGCCGGGTGTGGGCTCCCAAGCAGGTCTATTTATACCCTGTGGGTCGTGCTGGCCCAGGGTGTGGCCACAAGCCTCAGGGATTGGCTGGCTTCATCCTCTCCTTGGCAGGCCAGGCAGCTGGAGGGCAGGGAGTGGGGTGAGGGTCGGAGCCAGGTGGGGGTCAGCACATTCGCTGCTGTCTGGGCGGGTCTGGGTTGGGGTGTGTGCTTGGACCAAGCCCTGTCTCCCTATAGCCCCAGGAGGCTGGAGCAACCGCTGGAAACCGCTCCGCCGGGTTCCAGGTCCCTGTGGCCCCCGAGCTCCTGGGTGGGCTCCCAGCAGGGCCCTCCCCTGAGCCCCTCACAACCTATGCCCAGCCTGCCCCTGCCCTTTGCTCATGGCTGCCTCACCTCACAGCCCATTCCTGCCACCTCCCTGCCCATACCCACCCATGTGCTCACCTGCCTCATCCACACACAAACGTAGTTGTTCTCACACATGGGCTGTGTGTCCACACGCTGTCACACACATGCCCCTCGTGTCCACACAACTCATCCCGTGTCCACATGCTCACATATGTGCCGTGTCCACGATCTCACGCTGTGTCCAATCACACATGCCATGTCCACACGCTCTCACACGTGCTGTGTCCACACACTCCCGCACGTGCCATGTCCACATGTTCTCACACACATGCCATGTCGACGCTCACATATGCCATGTCCACATGCTCCCACACGTGCCGTGTCCACATGCTCTCATGCGTCTACACGCTCTCACAGTTGCCGTGTCCACACTCTCTCACATGCCATGTACAGACACACATGCCATGTCCACATGCTCTCACACATGTGCCATGTCCAGACCCTCACACATGCTGTGTCCACATGCTCTCACACACACGTCCACATGCTATCACACGTGCCATGTCCACTCACCACGCCATATCCACATGCTGTCACACACGTGCCATGTCCACACGCTCACACTTGTGCCATGTCCAGATGCTCACATGCTGTGTCCACACGTTCTCACACATGTGCTGTCCACATTCACATGCCATGTTCAGATGCTCACACATGCTGTGTCCACACATTCACACACGTGCTGTGTCCACACGCTCTCGCACATGCCATGTTCACATGCTCTCACACGTGCCATGTCCACACGCTCTCACATGCCATGTCCAGATGCTCACACATGCCGTGTCCACACATTCACACACATGCTGTGTTCACACGCTCTCACACACATGCCGTGTCCACATGCCCCAGCAGACTACAGAACTGGTCTGTGCAAAGACCAGGGCTGGAGCTGATGAGAGCCGGGGGGCTGGGATGGAGGGTGTGAGAGGCCCAGAGGAGCAGCCAGTGGCATGGGCTGCCCCCACCCCCCTGCACACTCTGCTGCTTGCCCGAGGGCCTGGTATAGAGCTGCACCCCCAGGCTGTCCAACTGCTGGCTCCCCACCTCACTGAGGCGTCTCTCCCCCAGCCCAGTGGACCTCATGCAAGGGCAGGTCTGACCTGGGTGCCACAGCCCCATCCCTGCCGTGAGGCCTGGGCTGGACCTGAGCTGGGACCGCACACACCAGCCTGGGGGGTGTCACACTGGGTGGGGCTGGGAGTGAGGGGCCCACCCTAGTGGGAGAGCTGGCCAGGCCACCCCACAGGCTGCCCTCAGGCAACTCCCCCGCAGGTGCCCGCTGACCCCTCAGTGAGGACCCAGAGGCTCCCCTAGTGCTGCCGTAAGCATCCTGGAGCCCAAGGGATGCTGGGAAGTGGGAATCAAGACTGCAGAGGCCGGGCAATGCCCCGTGGAGGAGGAGGATGATGGGGCTTGGGCTCAGGAAGGGCGGGACCCCTGCCAGTCCCATGAGGACTCTCAGTGGGGAGCTGGGGGGCTCAGCAGGGGGTCGGAGCTCAGACAGGGAGGGGTGAATGCTCGGAGAGTGGGGCGAGGGCTGGGGGTTCAGAGAGGGAGGAGTGGATGCTCAGAGCTGGGGAGGGATGGGAGCTCTGTGAGGGGGTCCAGGGTGGCGGAGGCTATGGGGACTCCGTGTGGGGAGCCACTGCGAGGCCCAGTCCGGAAAGCGCTCACTGGAGGCTCCTGCTTCCTGAGGGCCGTGACTCAGGTCACATGCCGCCTCCAGGAAGCGCCCGGGCCCCTGCAGCTCTGGGAACGTCCTCCCGACAGCTCCTGGGAATATCTGGGCACTGAGGTCACTCTGGGCTCCCGGCTGACACTCGTGCTGGCGGCGAAGGTGAGGGAAGGCCGGAGGAATGTGTGGTCTCGGGGCCAGGCCAGGCCTCCCTGTGTAGGAGAGGAGCCAGCAGCTCCACCTCTCCCAGCTCAGACCAGGCCGGGGTCGGGGTGCTGGGCTCTCGGGGGGCTCGGGATGGCAGCGGAGCAGCTTGGCTGGCTGTGTCCAGGGCATGGGGTGGGCCCGCCTGGTCCCCTCCATCGCAGCCAGTGGGCAGGCAGCTGGGTGAGCCTGTGGGCGTGTGTGTGATCACACGTGTGCATGCTTGAGGCCTGCATGCTGGCGTGAGCGCCTGACCCCTCACCTCCTTCACTTTCGGTCTCCTCACGCCCTCTCAGGGACTCCTTCCCCTCCAGGCCCCTGGATTACAGGTCAGACCCGGCACTGCCAGGCCTTGGGACTCAGTGTGGCCGGCGTGGGGAGGGGCCTTCCGGGCCTGGGCTGCTCTGGGGCCCCCCAGCCTCGCCCCACCCCACCCCACCCCATGCTGGGCCATTGGCTCAAATGCAGCAGCTCTGTTGGTTCTGGGGCTGGACTTCTTTCCTAGGAGCCCAGATGTGCAGAGGGGAGGCTGGTATCGGGGAGTAGGGCTCTGGGACGTGCTGGGCCAACCCTAGGCCCAGCCAGTAAGTCCCTCCCATACCTAGTGAGGAGGGTGCGTCCCTCGCTGCCACAGGTCCTGGCTGACCGCGTGCTGCCCACCAGGGGCCAATCACAAGTGCGCAGGTGGGAGACGCGGGGAGCCAGCTGAGGGGGTTATACGGAGGTGGCAGGAGGACCCTGGGGTTTTGGTTTGGGCCACTGGGTGGGAGAGGAAGGGGACCCAGAATTGAGAGATGGGACCTGGGGGGCTACTCAGAGGGTGGGCTGGGACGGTGCCTGTGTCTGGCCCGGCCTCCAGAGCCTACCTGGCTGAACCTGCTGTCCGTGCCTGTTTCTGATTTTATCCTCCAAACCAGACGCCCAGCCTGGTGCAAATGCAGGAGTGGAGTTTCCAGCGGGGCGTGGACTCCTTCCCTCCACCCCGCTCCTCTCAGTCTGGCTCCTTCCCTCTACCCAGCTCTCGGTCCTCGGTCCGGCTCCTTCCCTCCACCCCACTCCTCTCGGTCCCGCTCCTTCCCTCCACCCCACTCTCGGTCCGGCTCCTTCCCTCCATCCCCACCTCCATCCCTGTCTCCTTCCCTCCACCCCGCTCCCCTAGGTCCCGCTCCTTCCCTTTACCTCGCTCTCCATCCGGCTCCTTCCCTCCATCCCCACCTCCGTCCCTGTCTCCTTCCCTCCACCCCACTCCTCTCAGTCTGGCTCCTTCCCTTCACCCCGCTCTCCGTCAGGTGAGGCTGCCGGTGCTGGGCTCAGAGTAGCCTTGGGCTGTCCAGTCCCTCCCTTTCTCCCTAGGACCAGGTGACCCTCCCAGCCCCAGGACACTTCTTGGGCCAGGGCCCAGGGCAGAGCCGATGCTCCCCCAGGTGCTCCCTGGCTGCAAACCTCAGGCTGGGGGTTTCAGGGACAGGGAGGCAGGTGTCTAAAGACACAGCCCTCCAGGCAGGGGACGTTTCTGCCTGGGTGGGGGCACAGTTACGAGCAGGGGCAGCGCTCTGGCGTCCTGATGCCCAGGCCCTCTGCCCCTCAAGGCCTGTCCTGCCCCAGCTCAGCCCTCTCTGGCCAGGCCCACCACCGTCAGCAAACACGCCCCCACTGTTGCCCCTAATGGCCCCCGGCAGCCCTCCCGGGCCCGTGTCCACAGCCCCATGCAGCCCGGCCGGCCCATGGAAACGCACGTCCGCACTCTGTCCCACCTGCACAGGTTGTATTCAGGGAATAGGCCTGTGGCAGAAAATGTGCGGGTGCGGGGGGTGGGGGCACCCTGTGCTCGTAGCTCTCAGGGCCCCAACCAGGCAGCAGGTGGGGGCTCAACTCTCCTCCACCCCCGTCCCGCCTCCTGGCCCCCAGCACACGGTGGTGAGTGCGTGGGCCAGCCTGGCGGGGGCTTTGCTCCCCGACCTGCACTTAGAGAACAGAGGATGCTACGGGAGAGGGCAGCTCGGAACGCTGACTTTATATCAGCACCAGCGCCCCCACGTTCCCGCTGGCCCAGGTCCCGGGGACCATGGTGACACCCACAGGGGACTTCACAGAGGAGCGTGGGGCCCCGAAGGCCAGGCCGCCCCTCAGATGGGGGCCCGATGCTAAAGCAGACAGTGCATCTGAGACCACAGTGGAGCCCGAGCCTGGCGTGCAGGGGGCGGCCACAAACGCGCCTTTCTCCCAGGAACCCCAGAGGGACCCCGGGACTCAGACAGCGCCGGGGCCGCCTGGCAGGTCCAGCGAGGCGGTGACTTGTGGGGGTTAGATGTGGGCTGCCCCACGTGGGCAGGGATCAGCCGGGCCCGGGGCCCAGGCAGGGGGTCCAGGCAGGGGGTCCAGGCCCGGGGGCCCAGGGGGTCCGAGCGGGGCTGCAGAGCTCTGGAGGACTTTCCCGCACACGAATTTCTGCTTCGATACAGAAAGAGATGAAGAGGAAGCATCCTGCATCCCCGGAAATGGGTGGCCGTGTGCTTGGGGTCTCTGCCGCACGGGAGGACGGCCCAGAGGCGCCCCAGTCTCAGGCAGCTGGTTCCCAGGCTGCGTCCTCCCCACTGGCCCGGCATCGGCTGCAATGGCACGAGGACAGGCCTCACTGTTCTCAGGGGTCTTGGTGCGGTGGTGCTGGAGAAGTCCTGCCCATCGTGGGCTCCGGAGGGCATCGCAGCAGAGCCCCTGGCTTTTCTAGGCAGAGCGGTGCCTGCCCCGTAGATCACACCAGCTTTGGCTGCCTGAGCCAGGCCTGCATCTCGGCTGCAGGTGCTGGGGCCTCATCATGTTTCCTGGGGGGCCCAGACCCCCCAGGGCCTCGATCTGATGCTCTGAGGTCTCACGGATGCCTGCCTCTGGTCCCATAAAGCCGACCGCTGTGGTGTGAAGGAGCCTCAGGCGGCCCGGGACCCCTCGGTGTCTGTCGCTGGGAGACAGAGGGACTCAGAGCCAGGGCTGTGCCCAGGCCTGTCCCAGGCGCTGGGCGATGCCAACCCTTTGTGCCGGGCCTCCCGCCAAGGGGTCAGCCTCCGGGTCCCTGCTGCCAAGCGCATGGCGTGGTCTCGGCCTCCAGGTCAGACGTTGCTGATACGGGCCTCCGCCGAGGAGAAGGCAGCGGGGTCCATGGCCCTGTCCAGGGGCCGCTCCCGCCTGACGTAGCGCGGCTTCCGTACTGAAATGGGTCAGAGACAGGCAGGGTCAGAGTGGGACCTGGACAGCAGGGACAGTGCAGGCCTCAGCCCCTACCGGAGGCTCTCGGGAGCGGGCATGGCACAGGCGCCCGGGGCTGTTTACGCTGACCAGATGGGAACCCAGATGCCCCCTGCCCCGAAGGTGCCCTCAGAGCTCCGGCTCGGGAAAGGGCCGGCTTCCTCCTGCGCCGCTGCATCCTCTCGTTCACACCCTGGGCCCCGGGGCCGGGACGAGGGCCAGGCTATCCCTGAAGACAAAGATGTGGGTCACAGAGCACCATGTACCTCGGGGCGACAAGCAGGCCCCAGCCCCGAGACCTCAAATGTGACCCTATTTAGAAGGGGCTTTGCAAGGGATTAACGTCAGGGTCTCAGGCGTGATCGCCCAGGGTTCCTGGGGCAGGCCCTGAATCAATGGCCAGTGCCCACCTGAGAGGGAGGCAGAGAGAGAAGATGCAGAGGCGGGGGACACACCGTGGGACCGGGGGGGCAGAGACGGGCAACGCGGCCAGATGCCTGAGCGGGCAGGGGCTGGGGAGGCAGGCAGGGTCCTCCCCTGGAGCCTCGGGAAGCATGTGGCCTCGCCTGCCCCTTGGTTTTGGACTCTGAACTCTAGGACAGTCAGATTAAAGGTCTGCTGTTGAAGCTGGCAGGCCCGGGGCACTTGGGCACCCTGTGGTCTGCTGGGCCCTTGCGGACACAGCTGCTTTAGGGACGGGGCAGGATGGATGGAGAACTGTCTGTCCCCTAAGGCACTGTCACCTGCCCCCATGAGAGACCCCTGCACAGCGGACGGAGGCTGGGGGAGCCCTGCTCATGGCCTTAGAGCTTGTGGCTGTGGGCCAGTCACTCAGCCTCTGTGTCTGTGGCCCCGCCTATAAAACGGGTCCTAACCAGGCTGACCCTTGGGTCCACCGGACCCAGCGCCACTGAAGCGACGGCTGCTCAGGAGGGCCTGGCGGAGGCCGGCTGCGTCCGTCCTTGGGCGGAGCTGGACTTGAAGGAGGGGCAGGCACTGGGGGTCTGCCCTGTGGTGGGTCCTCCTTTCCTGCAGACCCCACGTCTCAGGAACAGGAAAGGGCATGGAAGTCCTGGGGATCAAAGGGGGCGGACAGGGTGTGTTGGCCAGATCTGGCTGAGATCCGGAGCAGGGGGTGCCAGCCAAATCCGGCCCTGGCCCAGCCTCGTGGGTCTCTCTGGGGACCTGGGCAGGGGCGGCCGAGATCCAGAGCCAGGCAAACCCGTTTGTTTGGGGACACACCCACGAGCACCCTGGGTCTGGCCTAGAGATGGGAAACCCCACGGGAAGATGCTGCTGTTACCTGAGGACTGTGGCGGGGGGATCATTGCAGCCTTGAAAAGGAGAGAAAGGCAGAGTGAGGACTTGGGATGGCCCGGCACAGACACACGCGGCCGGGGACGCTCAGCCCAGATGACACGGGTTACTTACGGCTTCGCCAGGCTGCAGGGCTGGGGCTGTGGGGAAGAAAGCGGACAGTCATCCTGGAGCCGAGGAGCTGCCTCAGCATCAGCCCAGTGCGGAGTCCGCGGAGCAGCAGAGGCCCCCGGGGCTGTGGGGTCAGGCTGGTCTCACCCCACCTCTCCCCGCGGTGCCACATTCCTCCAGGGAACTCAGGGGTGCGGGGGCCTCCCTAGCACCCCAGGCGAGTCCCCTGTCCCCAGACCCACCTTCCCGCCTCAGCAGAGGGGACGAGTCACCCTCATGAGAAGCGCTTCCCTAGGCTCCAGGGTCCCAGGGGAAGGGCTGCCCTCCCACCCGCCCAGGAGGAGCCCCAGGGCCATGGGCTTCTGCCTCCATGGTGCCCCCACGGTGGCAGTGCCATGGCATCGTGGTCAACCTGGCTTCTCCTTGTCCCGTGGCCACCAGGGCTGACCAAGCCCTGAGCCCTGCCCTGCTCCGAGGATGCCCACAGGCAGAGACGCTGAGCAGGCCGGGGCCTCTCGGTGCCTGGCTGTGCAGCAGCCCTTGGCAGCGGGCTCCTGACTGGAGGCTGAGCCCTGGGACCCCAAGAGAGGTTGAGAGGGGTGGACGGGGTCTCACAGCAGCCAGGTGGGGCTGCCCAGAGACCTGGGAGGAGGCCCCAGCTCGGCTATGACAGTCTGGCCAAGTGCTCACCTCGGGGTCCGATCTGCCGGCTGGACCATCTGCCTGGCAGGGACCCCGCGAGGGCCGGCCTGGACAATGAGGGCACCATGGACCCTGCTCAGAACTCGCCCCCACCTGAAGCCACCACAGGCACCACAAGGTCTCTCGGTGGGAGGGATCAGTGCCCAGGCCTGGGGTGACCATGGGTACAGCATGGTGTAGCCTGGGGTGTGGGCCCTGCACCAGCCTGGCCGGCCCTGACCCCAGGAGAGGGGAGGGAGGGGCCGTGGCTGCCAGAGGAGTCCCGGCAAGTCCAAGCTGCCGAGAGCCACCTGGCCCCGCTCCACTCGCCCCTCGTCATGCCCTGAGGGCCCCGGGAGCCGCCTCTGCCGGAAGAGGGTTCCAGCGGAGGCTCTGGGCACGAGGAAGGCCCCTTGGTGCTTCGACCATCAAATCCACACACAGCTGTTTCCAGGAAGTGACGGCTCTTCTCACGGGACCCAAAAGCCACGTGGCAGACCCTGGGGCATCCCATCCCCAAAGCTGGGTCCCGCCTGCCTGTGGCCTCCTGTGGGGCACGCGCTGGTCCAGGAGATACCTTTGCTTCTTCTGTAGAAGACCCTGGGGAGTTTACTGGAGCGCTTGAGGTAGAAGAACCCAGCTACAGAGAGGATGAGTCCGGAGCTGATGAAGAAGGTGCCCAGGAAGAGGGAGGCAGCCACGCGCGGAGCCCCTGCAGACAGACACCGCTGAGCGGGCAGGAAGGACGGCGGCCCTGGCTTCTTGCCTCCTCGCCTGGCCCCCAGAGCCACCAGCGCACGGCAGACTCTGCTCCCTGAACACGCCTGAGTCTCACGGACCGGCTGTGGGTGCCGAGGGCTCTGCACTTGGCCTTGGGTCATCCCTGCAGGCTCAGCCATGCCTGGACATCTGGCTGCAGGGTCTGGGAAAGTGACCACCTGCCCCGGCCTCGGCTTCTCGCAGGAGCTCAGATGTTGGGAGCGTTACAGGATCTGGCCCTGGCCAGGCTCTGCAGAAACGCCTCTCCGATTCCAGTTGCCCCTGAAAGCCGGGGGACCAGGGGATTCTCAGCCTTGTTCCTTCCTCGGGAGTCAGCACAGGCCCTGGGGCCTCCACACAGGGCAGAGGCTCAAGCTGGCAGCAGGTGCTCCTGCTCCCCACTCACCTCCACCTGCCTGGGCCAGGACCTCCCCACTCACCTCCACCTGCCTGGGCCAGGACGGGCCGGGGCTGCTGGCCTGGGGCTCAGGAAAGTTGGCGATGGCTGCTGGGTGTGCTCTGAGATGCTGGGGGGGGACTTCCCAACCCGGAGACACAGGCGTGTTTGCCATGCTTGGGGGCCTTGCTCCTTCCGACCCCAGCACAGAGCCACAGGAGGCCAGGAGCCCATCTAGGCCAACCCTACCCTAAAGCACGCCACTCAGGTCAGCAATGGACCCAGGCCAGCTCAGGGCCCGGGTCCATGCTCTAAAGACATGAGGGTTTTGCCGTCTCAGAACACAGCCCTCAGCCCCGGCCCCAGGTCCAGCACGTCCTTCTCTGCTGAAGGATGAGGGTCTGCAAGCCACACCCACATCTCAGGTGGGTTCAGAGGCCCAGGAGACGAGTCCGTCTGGGAGACGGGCCCTGTGTCCTCCTGAGGATCAGGTGTTGGTGGCCCCAGGCCCAGGCAGTGTGGCAGCTATTCCTGTCCAGCCTGCTTGTCTGCGTCTCCTGGGGCCACAAACCCTGGAAGAGTTGCTAGGCATGGTTAGCAGAGACCTCAGAGCACCTGCTCCTCCTGGTTCCTGGGACTGTGACCGCAGGCTGGAGTGGGTTTGGGGCGAGGCAGAGGCAGGACCAAGCTGTGAGCGTGCCCCTGAGACTGTGTGTGGTGTGGCCGTGTAAGCCTGAGAGCATGTGGTGTGTCCATGAGCCGTGAGCGTGAACCTGAGCGTGTGTGGTGTGGCCGTGAGCCGTGAGTGTGAACCTGAGAGTGTGCGGTGTGGCTGTGAGTCATGAGTGTGAGACTGAGAGCATGTGGTGTGGCCGTGAGTGTGAACCTGAGAGCATGTGGTGTGGCCGTGAGCTGTGAGTGTGAACCTGAGCGTGTGTGGTGCGGCCGTGAGCCATGAGTGTGAACCTGAGAGCGTGTGGTGTGGCCGTGTGAACCTGAGAGGGTGCCGTGTGGCCGTGAGCTGTGAGTGTGAACCTGAGAGCGTGTGGCTGTGAGCCGCGTGACCCCGAGAGGGTGCGGTGTGGCCGTGATGGCTTCCCCTAACTACGGCCCTTTGGAGATGTGGTGGAGCCCTGGTGACGTTCCCACATCCCCACCCACTTCAGCTGACCCCAAGTTGCAGGGGCTGCCGCACTCTCCTCTGGTCCTGTTTTGCAGACCCTGAGCCTGCTGTGGCCGCGTCAGTGGTCAGGGTCTGCACTGGCTCTGACAGCCCCAGTCCCCAGGACACTGGCAGAGATGGCCATGGCCTGCTGAGACTTACCGGGATGTGGTCGCCCGGGGGTCCCTGAGCTTCTGTTCATGGGGAATGGCGCACCCCGGCCAGCGACTGTAGGAGAGCAGAGCCGTGGGAAGCCTGTGAGCATGCAGCCCACAGGGACACCCACGAGCACCCTGAGGGGATCTCAGGCCGGAAATACGAAGGCAAGGGGCTGAGGGGGTGGAGCAGCCCTCACCACAGAGCTGTCCCAAATGGGCCAGAGGACTCGAGAAGAGGGGGTCCCGGGGCTGTTCCCCCAGTGGACAGTGGCTCTGGGGCAAGGTGGGGACACAGACAGCAACTCCCACAGTTTCTCCCACAGCTGGAGCTGTGAGAAGGAAGCCGGGGCAGCCGGGCAGACCTACAGCTTCTACACTCGGAGCCATTGTAGGCTGGGAGGGTTCCGTTCCCGCAGCGGACACAGCTGGCGCTCCCGTCCGCGTTCCAGTGCCTGTAGCAGCCTGTGTGGGGCAGAGAACAGGCATGTCAGCCAACGTGAAATCCACACCAGCTCGGTCTTTGGGAATGATTCTCTGGTAACTTCCACTCCGGACACTAACACGAACGTGTTCTGGAGGGTGGGCAGACGGTAGACAAGGACACCCCCAGGGAGCGTGGCAGGGCCCTGAGCACTCCACACTGTGCGCTCCACACAGAGCACCCTGGCCCTGAGCACTCCACACTGCGCGCTCCAGAAAGTGGTAGGCGGCAGCATCCAGAATTAACAGGCCTGTGGCAGGGGCTTGTGCTCTGAAGGACTGGAGGCTGGGCCCAGCTTCCACCACCCAGCCCTCGCCCCACAGACTCTTCAAGAACCCCCACTGCAACGCCTGCCCCATGGCCTCCCCCAGGACCCCCCACGGCCTCCCCAGGACCCCCAACGGCCTCCCCCAGGACCCCCCATGGCCTCCCCCAGGACCCCCCACGGCCTCCCCAGGACCCCCCCACGGCCTCCCCCAGGACCCCCCCACGGCCTCCCCCAGGACCCCCCCACGGCCTCCCCAGGACTCCCCTCACGGCCTCCCCAGGACTCCACATGGCCTCCACCAGGACCCCCCCACAACCTCCCCAGGACCCCCCCCACGGCCTCCCCAGGACCCCCCCACGGCCTCCCCCAGGACCCCCCCCACAACCTCCCCAGGACGCCCCACAACCTCCCCAGGACCCCCCCATGGCCTCCCAGGACCCCCCCATGGCCTCCCCCAGGACCCCCCCACAAGCTCCCCAGGACCCCCCCACGGCCTCCCCAGGACTCCCCCCACGACCTCCCCAGGACCCCCCCACGACCTCCCCAGGACCCCCCACAGCCTCCCCAGGACCCCCCACGGCCTCCCCAGGACCCCCCCACGGCCTCCCCAGGACGCCCCACAACCTCCCCAGGACCCCCCCACGGCCTCCCCCAGGACCCCCGATGGCCTCCCCAGGACCCCCCCACGGCCTCCCCAGGACCCCCCCCACGGCCTCCCCAGGATGCCCCACAACCTCCCCAGGACCCCCCGATGGCCTCCCCAGGACCCCCCACAGCCTCCCCAGGACCCCCCACGGCCTCCCCCAGGACTCCCCCACAACCTCCCCAGGACCCCCACAACCTCCCCAGGACCCCCCCACGGCCTCCCCCAGGACACCCCCTACGGCATCCCCAGGACCCCCCCACGGCCTCCCCAGGACCCCCACCTGCAATGCCTGGAGCCGCTGCCTCGAATGCCGTGTTCCCTCTATCGGCCCAGGCAGGACGGGCCCACCCCCAGCAGCACAGCCTCCTGCCCCAAGCTGATCCTGACCCTCAGTCTGTCTGTCACCTCCACACCCTGGCGCCCTCCCCGGGGTCTCTCCTGGGGGATCCTGCAAAACCAAGCCTCATTCCCACCCCAGGCCGATGCTGCCCCGAAGCCTCATTTCTGCCCACCGGCCAGGGTGCCTTTAAGGACAGGACTTGACTCTTACCCCTCGACTTTCTAAGTATCTCCAACACTTAGCCCAGAGCTGAGCAGACACACGCTGGATGCTGACTACAGTGCTGATGCTGGTGTGGGCCACGGGTGGACCACACGCCTCGACCCTTCCTCACAGACTGACCTGAATACGGACGGGCCGTGGCGACACGGTGGCCCCGCGCGGTTGTGACAGGGGCCGCTCCGCGGATGCACCTCTTGGGAGAATGGAAGCCCACCCACTCAGTCCTCCCGGGGCGGAGCCGCGTTCTCCCAGCGCTGGGGTAGCCTCTGTCTCCCGGCATCTCCTGGCACAGGGCTCGGGCGGACCTCAGTGAGGCTCACTCTGACCTGAGAGTCTCTTGCCCCGGAGGCCGAGGAATGGAGTCCACGGCAGGGAGCCCAACACCAGCTCTGCGCTGTCCCCAGAAGTGCCCACTGCCTCCCCGAGCAGACACGTGACCGGACTTCTCTATGAGCTGCCAATGGCGGGGCCGTACGCAGGGAGAAGTGCATCCAACACCGAGGCCTGGCCCCTCTCCACATGCGCCTGACGGTTCCCACCCTGAGCCCGTACATGGGGCCACCTCGGCCCTTGGACCTCACGACCCGCTGGCCCGGCCCCTCCATGGGCACCGTGACTGCTGCATAGTTGCCTGCGCCCACGCAGTGCCTGGGGTGCACGATCCCTCACGGGAGACGCCAGCCCCCAGCACTCCTGCTGCCATGGGGGTGAGTGGGGTGGTTTCCACCTGGCCACCAGGGCTTCAGCCTCAGAGCATGACGGGCCCCAAGGTGCTCAGTTTCCTCCCAGTCTCTCTGTTCTCCCTCAGAGCGGTGCCCCCCTCCTCCTCCTACCCCGCTTGCACCTCAGATGTCACTGCCTTCCTGCAGCCTCCCCAACTCCCACACCCAGCCTCAGACCCCCACGCCCAGCCTCAGACCCCCACGCCCAGCCTCACTGGCTGCCTCAGCCTCCATCTTGGCCATGCCCTCCTCACAAGGCCCCTGGGTCCCCAGGAGCAGCCCCTCTGGGTTCTTCCATCATGGGAGGGCTGGACCCCCAGGATGAGAGTGCCAAGGCCCTTGGAGGGACAGCCTGGACATCTCAGCCCCAAGTCCACCACGGCCCCACTGGAGACCACCCCAAGGGCTGCCAAGGAGAGGCCCGTGCACCTTCTCACTCTGTCCTCCCCTCCCCTGGCTGCTCCCACTGGCTGCCCCCACCAGCCTCGACCTCCCGACGTCCAGCTGCCCCCAGGTAGTCCCTTCTGCAGCCTCCAAGAACCTCCAATGAACAGGGCCTGCCCGTGGCGCACTGACACAGGCATCCTCTGGCAGCATCCCACTCCACGTACAGGGGCCAGCAGCACCTCTGCCCGAGCACGGACAGGCAAAAATGTCTCGGGCTTTGCCAAAGGCCTCTAGAGCCAGCACTGCCCCCATGAGAATGGCTGAGCTCATGGGCCGCTCCCCCAGACCCTTCCCCCAGCACCTTTCTGTTCTCAGCTCCTGCCTCTGCTCCCAGCCCTCTGCCGGGCCAGTCTCCTCACTGGGCCAATGCTCAAGGCTGCCCGCCAGGAAGGAGGCTCAGCTGTCCTTCCCCAAGCTCCGCAGTCCTCACCGTCCCATCCACTCCCCCTGGCCCCGCAGAGCAGATGAGCACTGTCCTTGTCACCGAGGGGAGGGACCTCGGCACACACGCCAGTGGCTCAGTGGCTGGTCTGGAATCTGTTTGGGACAAAGTCGCTTACCTGGGCCACACAGGCTTGCGCCTGGGCAGCTGGCGTTGACGCCCACCACATCCACACAGCACTCGGGCAGCTGGGCCTGGAGGGGACACAGAAGTGAAACTCCAGGACGCACCTGCCAGGCAGGCTCGTACCCAGAGCAGCAGTGGCTGAGGGGTGCCGTGTGAGCACATCTCGACATCCACAGCTCCAGCCTCTTCTGGAGTCAGCTTCGGGTGGCCCTCTGTCCCCTGTGGGCCTGGGAGCAAGGAGGGGACTCATGGCCACAGTGCACATCCCTGTGGGACCCTGGGTGGGCGGTCTCCAAGGAAAAGCTGGGCCTGGAACAGAGTAAACCACCCCCACGAGGTGGCACCCGCAGGCCGTGGCAGTGCCACCGACATTCTCTGCAATTCTCTGGACAACCCTCCATCACAGGTTTCCAGCCTGACCCCACAGAGGAAGTGCCTGGGCCTGGCTGGCATTTCAGGGGACGAATTCACGCCTGGGTGCCCAGGTGCTGCACAGGTGCACTGGGTGCTGGCATTTACGGTGTGTGTGAGGGCCCATTCCTTAACCACAGGCAGGCTGGACAGGCCTGGGGGGCTCAGGGTGCCCTCAGCTTGTGTGTTGATCACAGCTGTGCTGTTGCTCGTGACCTGAATGCAGTGAACGGTGAGGGCGTCCAGGGGTGACGGTGGAGTACGGGAGAGAATCCACACCGCCAGGGAGAGGTCCAGGTCCAGTCCCTCAAACGCCCCAGCCAGGTTGGCTAGGGGTCCCCACCCCCCACCACTCCGACTGGGAGTCGGGAACCGCTGCAGCTACACTCCCGGATAGCAACGTGCGGCGGGCTGTGCCATCACCGCTGGCAGAGCTGCTCCCAGTGCGGGTCACGATGCCTCACCATGGGGGCCCCGCCAGACCCAACCATTCCTGAGCAGGTGCTCACCAAGCAGGCAGTGCAGGGCTCCCCTCTGCGAGGCACAGGCCCCTCTGACCCCAGCAGTGGCCCCGGTCAGCACCTCTGGGACTGGGACATCAGTGTCCTAAAGGTTGAAGGGTTAGACCCCTAGGGGAAGGGCCCACCGCCCTCCTCAGAGGCCCTGGCTTAGGCCGCGTGGACACGTGACGGGGGCACCTACCATGTTCTCCATGGACTTGCTCGCAACTCCCACCAGAAGGCCAGCCAGGAAGGCGAGGTGCCGCAGCGCCATGCCAGGAGCGGATGCGCAAGGCCTGCAACAGTGAGGAGGGCGCAGAGCCAAAGACATGGGGTGGGGCCGGGGCAGCGGGGGTGGGGCCAAATAGAGATGTTGGCGGGGCGGGCCGAGGCAAGGAGGGCGGAGCCAAATGGAGATGAGCGGGGCTGTGGTGGGGAGGGCGGGGCCAAATGGAAGTGGGTGGGGCTGTGGCACGGAGGGTGGGGCTAAGTGGAGATGGGCTGGGGCTGAGGCAGGGAGGGTGGGGCCAAATGGAGATGGGCGGGGCTGTGGTGAGGAGGGCGGGGCCAAATGGAAGTGGGTGGGGCTGTGGCACAGAGGGTGGGGCTAAGTGGAGATGGGCTGGGGCTGAGGCAGGGAGGGTGGGGCCAAATGGAGATGGGCGGGGCTGTGGTGAGGAGGGCAGGGCCGTGGTGAGGAGGGCGGGGCCAAATGGAAGTGGGTGGGGCTGTGGCAGAGGCAGATGGCTGAGTCAAATGGAGATGGGGCAGGGCCATGGCAGGGGTCCAGGGCCATGATGGAGAGGGCGGGGCCAAATGGAGGTGGGACGAAAGAGGGAGGGCTTGGGGCCTTTGGAGGCACGGGTGGGGCGAGGTGTAGGCGGGGCCTTACCTGCCCCTCCAGGATGGGGGATACCGACATCAGCCCTTTGCCTGCCCTGGTGGTCAGGGGTTAGCTCTGGGAGCTCATGGGTTCAGCTGAGCCGTGCAGACCCCGGCCCAGTCCTGCAGATGAAGGCAGCAGGTGAGACCATGGTCACTCGAGGGCAACCCATGTGGGCTGTGGCCTACAGTGCGGGGTCTGGGTCCAGTCTGGGCCTCTGTCTACACCCTTGCTGGTCCCTGGCTGTCGAGCAGAGCGTCCTGGAGGGGCCGTCCCTGGGCTGTGGGGGCCTTGGCAGGGCTGTCTCCACGAGCATTTCCCCCAAGCTGGCCTGCTGGCCTCCTGCGGGTGAGAGTGCCTGGGATGCAGGCCCTTGGCCTGGCCTTTGCTCAGGGAGCAAGCACGGAACTCAGTGGCCCAGGCTGCACGCAGTGGGCACCGGTCCTCCCGCACAAACCCCTCTCTCCTGCACTTGCCAGCCACAGGACCTGGCGCCATGGCCCTGCCTTCCTAAGTAAAGGGAGGAGACGCCTGCCAGGCGCACAAACCCTCAAGTGGTATCACTGCACTGGCTCAGGGGCCTCCCTGGCAAGTTACCCTGAGAGGGGCTGAGGCCAAGCCAGGCCTGTGGAGCTCCTCTTGATGGCCTAGGCCAGGGGTCCTTGGACAAGGGCTGTGAGCAGCAGGGAGACTGAGGCCCTGGAGGACACAGACCCAATCCCTGCCACAGGGATGTTCCACTCGTCCCCCACTCCATGCTGGATTCAGGTCATGGCCTCACAAACTGACCAGGCTGCCTAGGTGTGAGCCTGCTGGAGGACTCTGGGAGGTGGGGGTGGTCGGAATTTTTGAACTCAGGAGTTGGAGACCAGCCTGGGCAACATGGCCAGACCCCGTTAAAGTTTACAAAAAGTTTAAAATTAGTTGGGCCTGGTAGCGGGAGCCTGAGGTCCCAGCTACTCAGGAGGCTGAGGTGGAAGGATCACCTGAGCCCAGGGGTGGAGGCTGCAGTGAACCGAGACTGCACCACTGCACTCCAGCCTGTGCAAGGCAAACTCCATCTCAAAAAAAAAAAAAAAAAAAGCATGCTCTTCTCTAATTCAGCTCCTCCTCTCTCTGACGTGAAATCCTTCAGATGGAACGTGTTAAAGTCACAGACATGATGCTCGCCCCACCCACAGAGTGTGATCAAGTCTGTTTTTCCTTTTGTCCCTTTAACATTTGCCCGGCAGAGTCCGTCTTCCTCTGCTTGGTGGAAAACTCCAGACATCACAGACCCTTCTGCTCCCTCTCTGGTTAAAGGGTGTCCTGAGTACCACATTAAGTCACAAAACATCATTTTGATTCAGCAACCAGAAGACCAAGATTGCAACCAACACTTTCATCTGCTATTGAGTCAACTCTACAGAGGTGTACTTTACATACAATAAACCACATCCATGTCAGTACACAAGCGGGTGAGTCTGAGCACCCCCTTGAAGCTGCCACCACAACTGGGACAGCGCCTGGTCCCACGCAGCTACCAGCGCTCGCTGCGGCCCCCAAAAGCCTGGGCTCCCAGCGCCCAGGAGTTGACGGGACTGCAGCCCTATCTTCTAGAGTCTTATACAAAGGGGCTGCACACACTGACCTTCAGATCCTTCCATGTTGTTTTTTTTTTTTTTTTTTTTTTTTTTTTTTTTTTTTTTTGAGACGGAGTCTCGCTGTGTCTCCCAGGCTGGAGTGCAGTGGCATGATCTCGGCTCACTGCAAGCTCCGCCTCCCGGGTTCACGCCATTCTCCCGCCTCAGCCTCCCAAGTAGCTGGGACTACAGGCACCCACCACCACGCCCGGCTAGTTTTTTGTATTTTTAGTAGAGACGGGGTTTCACCATGTTAGCCAGGATAGTCTCGATCTCCTGACCTCGTGATCCACCCGCCTCGGCCTCCCAAAGTGCTGGGATTACAGGCTTGAGCCACCGCGCCCGGCCTTCCATGTTGTTTTATCTGCACTTTCTTCCTTTCCACAGCCGAAGGATTTTTCCACCGTGTGGCCAAACATCGCCACCATTACCCATCGCCTGCCGGTGGGTGCCTGGGCTGCTCCCAGTTCCTGGTGACTGGATGAAGCTGCAGCAGAGGCCCTGGCACATGTCCTCATGTGGACGTCTGTCTTCATTTCTCTTGGGAGCAGAGTGGCTGGCCCACAGGAAGGTGCACGTTTAACTTTCTGAGAAACTGTAGCCATCTTCCACAGGGGCTGTGCTGTTTGCCCTCCCACTGGCAGTGCGGGTGCACGCAGGGTGCCATGCACGTGCGGGATCTTTGCCCTCCCACTGGCAGTGCGGGTGCACGCAGGGTGTCATGCACGTGCGGGAGTCTGTGTTGTTTGCATTTCCCCGAAGACTAACGATGGCATCTTTCCATGTGCTTATTAGCCACTTATACATCTTCTTTTCTGAAGTGTCTGCTCATATCTTCTGCCCATTTTGTTTAATCGGGTGGAGTTGTAACATACACTTTTTTGGCGGGGTGGGGTGGGGTGGCGGATAGGGCCTCACTCTGTCGCCCAGGCTGGAGTGCAGTGGTGCCATCGTGGCTCACTGCAGCCTTGACCTCCGGGGCTCAGGCGATGCTCCTACCTCAGCCTCCCGAGCAGCTGAGACTATAGGTGTGCGTCACCACCGCACTCGGCTAAAACACATGTTCTTCATCAGATTTATGTATTGCAAATATTTTCTTCCATCCTATGGTTTGTCTTACCATTTTTTTTTCTTTTTTGAGACGGAGTCTCGCTCTGTCGCCCGGGCTGGAGTGCAGTGGCGCAATCTCGGCTCACTGCAAGCTCCGCCTCCCGGGTTTACGTCATTCTGCCTCAGCCTCCCAAGTAGCTGGGACTACAGGCGCCCGCCACCATGCCCAGCTAGTTTTTTGTATTTTTAGTAGAGACGGGGTTTCCCCATGTTAGCCAGGATGGTCCCCATCTGCTGACCTCGTGATCCGCCCGCCTTGGCCTCCCAAAGTGCTGGGATTACAGGTGTGAGCCACCGTACCTGGCCCCTGTCTTATCATTTTCTTTTTTTTTTTTTGAGACGGAGTCTCACTCTGTCGCCCAGGCTGGAGTACAGTGGCTGGATCTCAGCTCACTGCAAGCTCCGCCTCCCGGGTTCACGCCATTCTCCTGCCTCAGCCTCCCGAGTAGCTGGGACTACAGGCGCCCGCCACCTCGCCCGGTTAGTTTTTTGTATTTTTTAGTAGAGACAGGGTTTCACCATGTTCGCCAGGATGGTCTCAATCTCCTGACCTCGTGATCCACCCGTCTCGGCCTCCCAAAGTGCTGGGATTACAGGCTTGAGCCACTGCGCCCGGCCCCCGTCTTATCATTTTCTTATGGACATCTTCTGAAGTGCAAACATTTTTAATTTTAATGAAAGTTTTAATAAAATTGAATGCATCCATTTTTCCTTTTGTGGTTCTTGTTTTTTGTGTCCTAAGAAATCTCTGCCTTGACCTCACGGTCACTAAGATTTACTGCTTTCTTCCAGAAGTGTTACGGTTTTAGTTTTTGCATTTTGAGTCACCTTTGTGTATGGTGAAATGCAGGTCAAACGTCATTTCTTTCCTTATATATAAACAGTTGCTAAAAAGACTTCTTTCCATGTGGAATTATGTTGATATCTTTATTGAAAATCAATGGACTATAGATGTGAGGTCTATTTCTGGGCTTTCTATTTGGTTCCACTCACCTGTGTGTCTCCTCTTCAGAGATACCGTGGCTGACTGGATTACTGACGCAGTAATTCAAACAGAAACTTTGAAATCGGCTCTGCTTTCCTTAATTGCTCTGGCAATTCTAGGTCACATGTGTTTCCTATTTTAGACTCATTGTTTCAATTCCTACAAAAAAGCCTACTGCGATTTTGACGGGAGAGCTGAGGTGTGAACAGGATTGAGTCTTTTCATCAGGGACATGCTGTCTCTTCATCCCTCCACGTCTTCTTCAGTGTGTCTCAGCAGTGTTTATAGTTTTCAGTGAACAGGTCTTATGTATCTTTTATCAAGGTAATTACTAAGTATTTTACTTTTTGTTATTACAAATGGAATGGAATTTCTGATTTCATTTTCCAATAGTTTGCTGCTACTATATAATGATAAAATTTTGCACATTAACCTTGATTTCTGGAATCTTGCCAAATTCACTTAATAGTTCTAGCAATTCTCTGTAGCTTTCTTAGGGTCCTCTACATAAATAATCATGTCATCTACAAATAAATACAGTTTTACTTCTTCCTTTCTAATCCTTGTGACTTCAATTTGCCTTTTTTCTTACCTTATCGCAGTGGCTGGGACTTTGAGTATAATGTTGGACAGAAGAGTGAGAATGGGTGTCATCCTTGTTCTTGATTTTAGGGATAAACTGCTCAATATTTCGGCACTAAAAGTACAATGTCTAGTGTCGGTTTGTCATAGATGTCTGTGTATCAGACTCAGGGAGTTTCCTTCTAGTCTTAGTTTGCTGAGGTTTATTTTAAAAAATCATAAGACAGGTATAAATGTTTCCAAATGTCTTTTCTGCACCTATTTCACTGTTCGTCCTTCCCTTCTTTATTCTAGTGACATGGTGGTGACAAAGATTGATTTATGAATCAAAACAACCTTGTATCACTGGGATAAACCATGCTTGGCCGAGGTGTGCTGCCCTCTTAGGCTATTGTTGGATTTCACCTGCCAATACCTTCTTAAGGATTTTTTTTGTTGTTGTTGTTGAGATAGAGTCTCGCTTTGTCACCCAGGCTGGAGTGCAGTGGCCGGATCTCAGCTCACTGCAAGCTCCGCCTCCCGGGTTTGCGCCATTCTCCTGCCTCAGCCTCCCGAGTAGCTGGGACTACAGGTGCCCGCCAACTCGCCCGGCTAGTTTTTTGTATTTTTTTTTTTAGTAGAGACGGGGTTTCACCGTATTAGCCAGGATGGTCTCGATCTCCTAACCTCGTGATCCGCCCGTCTCGGCCTCCCAAAGTGCTGGGATTACAGGCTTGAGCCACCGCGCCCGGCCTTCTTAAGGATTTTTGCCTGTGTTCATGAAGGATAGTGGTCTATAATTTTTTTTTTTTTTTTTTTAGATGTCTTTGTCAGGTTTTGGTAT